GCCCAGATAAGAAAGATTTCAGCACAAGGGTTTCTTAATTAAATAATGCCTGATGCCAGATTACCACTCAGAAGGCAGCAGTGGGTTCCATTAAAGGATGAACTTCACTCCCACAGCTGACAGCTGATTAATGCATTAATTAGGAGCCTTGCCACCTCCCCCAGTTACAAGAATCTTCTTTTAAGCCCAGCAGAATGTATAGATTGTGCCCATGTGGATAACCTCATGACATACTTTGGCTTTGACTTTGGACGTTTATATAAAAATAAAGGCTCAGTTGCCAACATGAATAGCTTTCTTTCTTTCCAGGGGAAATACAAGATGGAAAGAGTTATAGGAACCAGAAGTCCTGTCTTTGGGTTTTCTTATATCAAGAGCAAGTGATATTTCTGCTGAGGCAGTGTCTTTTGAGCGGTTTAGTGGTGTAGATTGCCACACATTTATTTCACAGGAAAGGAGCGAATCCATCAGGCCACTGAGCTTATAAGTACTACCCTGGCAGTCAGCCACCAAAATATAAATACTCTAAATGGACTAAAGGAAATGTTCATTTTGTTGTTTAGAATTGGACACATCCCAGGAAGGTAAATTGAATCTTTCTGAGGACTGCTGTTGTAAGGTTGAATGGAATAGGCATTTGTTTACCTCCTCTGTGATCTTTTTGTCTTTCTGGTGATACGGTATGTATTTGTGATGCAAAACATTTCAGCTGTCTTGTTCACTGGCATTGCATTAGCCGATTGTTCGGTCTCCTGATTGCCATGGTTAAACAGCTTCAGCCTCAGTTCTGTCTAATCTGGGACCTGTTAGAGAGGAAAGTGGAACCAAAGAGGCCAGATTCCAACAGAAACAAAGCTGGGGTGGAATTAGGGGAAAATCATCCCAGAGCCCAAGTGAGCTGAGCTGTACACTTGTTAATCTTCATCTGTTAATATATATGAAGAAATTTGGGTACTTCTTGGAATCACGGGGAAAAATAATTTTCATTTCATCTGAAAATGAAATATATACAAACTTAAAATGGTCTGGGGAAAAAAAAAAAGGACAAATAGCCCCACAACACCACAATTCAGAAAATTAGCATTTATGAGACACACGTTACCTATTTCATGAGTATGCAAATGTTATTTTATTAAAGTGAGAGATGTACAGTATATATTTTCACCTAACTACCACATCTTAAGCAATCAGCTCAGGCTCTTTACATGAAATCTTAATCACTAGAAGTGTGTCATTCGTTAGATATATAATGAATGATTGTATTGGGTTTTATTGCCCCACATGATATAGCCATTTGTGCCATAAATTCATTGACCTCATCTTAAATAACGTGTCCTGTAAGACAGACTTGATTATTTTTTAAGTGATAATTTTTTTTCTCTCTAATAATTTTTTGCTTCATCAGAAAGATTGCTTTCCTGCATTTTTAGATCAATGTTCTGAACTGAGTAAGTCAAAGAGACACCCACACTCACACTCAGAGTACCCAAACCATGATAGTTATGAACAACTTCACTACTACCTAAACACTTTGGCATGTTGCAGAAAATCAATTAGCTAGCCATTAGGCTTGATCTCTAAGTGGAAAGTTTGCTGAAATAGAATTTTGCTTCTAGCTTTGATGTCTGTAATTCTTTTTCTGTAGAAAAAGATAAAATATGGTAGAGAGTTTTATTTGATAATTGCAATAGATTTACTAGCACTCCTTCGTCATCAATGAATTATTGAAAGTGAAGGAAATTATGGAAGAAGATTTAAGTTATATTGAGATTTTTTTTTTTTTTTTTTTCACTCCACTTGAAAAGTATTTATTCAGCTGAGAAATCAGAGGAATCCTCTGGGGGCAGATTATGCAGTCTGGCAATTTAAAAACCAATTAAGGATTTTAGAAAACTCCCCTTATAGTTAAAAAAAGAAAGAAAGAAGAAGAAGAAAAGAAATAGGTGAGAAGATTTGGTATATTCTTTTAATTACTCCAATTCATTGATAATACTCTTTAAACCAAACTCACTGCTGTCAAGTCATTTCTGTCTCATAGAGATCCATCCTTGGGTTTCTGAGGCAGTATCCCTATAGAAGTAGATTGCCCAATCTTCCTTCTGAGGAGTGGCTTGTGAGTTTGAACCACCAGCCTTCTGGTTAGAAGTCAAATGTCTTAGGTGCTACACCACCAGAGCTCTCATAATACTCTTTAGTTAATAATTAAAACCCAAAACCAAACCTACTGCCATCCAGGCAATTACAACTCATAGTGACCCTGTGGGACCCTATGCCTCATAGGATTTCCAGAGCTGTAAATCTTCACAGAAGCAGACTGACCCATCTTTCTCCTGAGGAGCAGCTGGTGGGTTTGAACCATTGACCTTTTGGGTAACAGATGAGTGCTTTAACCACTGCATCACCAGGGCTCATGATTAAAGCTGCTGTATTTGATTTCTCAGTTCAAGCTTAACAATTTACACTTTAGGTGTTCTATAGGAGCTCTGGTAGGATAGTGCCTAAGGCACTTGACTGCTAACCAGAAGGCTGGCGGTTCAAACCTACCAGCTACTCCTTGGAAGGAAAGTTGGACAGTCTACTTCCTTAGTGATACTGCCTTGGAAACGCAAGGAGGGGTTGCTATGAGTCAGGTCTGACTCAGGGCAGTGAGTTTGAGTATGTTGTTGTTGTTGTTGTTGTTATGTGCTGATGAGTCGGCCCCAACTTACAGCAACCCCTCCTTGGGTTTCTGAGGCAGTATCACTACGGAAGTGGATTGCCCAACCTTCCTTCCGAGGAGTGGCTGGTGGGTTTGAACTGGTTTTGCCTTCTGGTTAGCAGTCAAGTGCCTTAAGCACTACCCTACCAGAGCTCCTGAGTTTGAGTACAGATGCCTAATATTGAAACAGAAACATGTGGCTCTATTTTTTTAATGTAATTTAAATGCCCCATCATTATGTATCAATTAACTTCACACAAAAATGATTAGGTTTTTTAAATAACTTCCATGCATCATGTTTCACCACTAGTTTATTTAACCTTTATCTAGATGGGAAAGAGAGGGTCTGATGAATTCTGTGTGTCTCTTCTCATCAGAGGCAATTTTACACTGATTTGTAAACTGAGTGTATCAACTATGATTTAAAAAAAAATCCCTTCATTCTGGTGGAGCCTGAAACAATGTATTGAAACATAGGTGGATATTAACACTGAAGTCACTTATTATTGTAATGACTACAACAGTCTTGATGACCACGTTGAGAAAATGCCTTCAGCATCAGCAGTTTTCTTGCTGTCCTCAAATTTTTGCAAGAAGTATCTTGAAAGGGCATTTTGGTATGAGACCAAATAAAAACTAGTGTGTGCTAATATATATTTATTATGCAATCTCCTGACATCAAGTTTATTACCTGCAAATATCAAGAAAAAAAAAAGTGAGAAGGAAAAGAGAGGATTTATAAATACAGACCCACATCTGCCACGTGTGTTTGTGCCCACAGTCACATACTAGCATGCCACTACTGTTTACAGTCAAGGAAAGCTGAGAGTTAAATGAGATGAGAAATCAAATGCCCAGCATATGTTGTTTTCGCATTGTTTATGTGACCAATCATTATTAAAATTTACCATCTTTTAATGCTATCAGTTTACAATAGTTTCAAGAAAAACCACGCATGAACAAACACCCTCTTCAACAAAAGCAGGATTCTGTTTAGAACAATATCAGACTCGGTGCTTTAGTGGGGAGACACTCAAATTCAATAAGCTCACCATTGTACTGCATTTCAGAATTTTTCCTCTGCTTCTGCTTTATGGCTTGAATGCTGAGGAAATGACCAAAAAAAGGAAAAAAAGATTGTGTGTGTAAAATTCTGTCAGAAAAGTAAGGCACTGAAAGAACTATTGAAAATTTTGACATCTGTTTATCTGTTTATAGCTATGGCAAGATTACTCATATTAATTCTTGTTTAAAATGCCATATGAAGGAAAGACATTTGTGCAAACAAGAGTCATATTTGAATTGTAGATCATGTCTTCACCATCTGTGAGAGCTGATGGTGTTGCAAAATTAATGTGTTAATGAAATCACAATAATTTCTCCCAAGTAATGGGTTCTGAGCCTAGGATGACTATTTTTTGAACTTTGATGTCTAATGATTTCCAATTGGGAAAAGCTCTCAGCCTTTAATTAGTTCTGCAGCCCAACTTTAAAATAAATTTGGTGTTGTCTTTCTTTTCCCATGAGTAGATTTTGAAGGGGGAAAAAAAGCCATAACAACTTTTGGAAAACGCTCTCTGGTGTTTGAAAAGTTGTTAAATAAGACTGCCTGCCAAGAAATGTCACCAAAAATTCTGACTACTGAAAGAGAGTGGGCAAACAGCTCAAAAAAATCACTCTAGCTTTGCTGTAACATCACAGGTTGGGAATAGCTAAACCTCACACAGACTTCATGACTAATTCCAAGTTTGACTTGGAAGCCAGAGATAATGATTTTCAGCACTTTGTGTTATTGGTTAACACAGCACATCCGTACCAACTGCATTATTGAACACAGTCAATAGTGCAAAGTGACTCAAATGAGGAGAATGCTAAGGGGCAATGGTTCAAGCCCATTGCACTTTCTGAGAAGCCTTCCCTCCAAAGCTATTTTAGATTTGCATTTACAATGAGCCTCTTTGACAAATGAAAATGAGTAGGTAGGTATATATATGTATTCTCTTTTTGGTCAGATCTCCCTTTTAAGTCATACTTAAGAGGCAACACAATTTCTTTTTCAAAAAGAAAAAGAGGAATAGGAAAGTGATAATTGCAATTCTAGAGTCAGTATTTAGAAAGCAAACCATCATTTTACAAACATTTTCGAATTTTGCCTTTTAGAAGGAAACAGTTCAACCTGTTTGAAACATGGTGATAAAGTCTGAAAGCACCTTTATATGAAACATGAAACGCCATCTACCTGAGGAAATTGTTTATCTTACCTGTTGTGGTTTTTTTTTTTTCCCCCATTACTGTGTTGTAGGTATGTGACTGGTGTAAGCACATAAGACACACAAAAGAATACCTGGATTTTGGGGACGGGGAAAGAAGGCTTCAGTTCTGCAGTGCAAAATGTCTCAATCAATACAAAATGGACATTTTCTACAAAGAGACCCAGGCCAATCTTCCAGCTGGGCTGTGCAGCACATTACACCCTCCCATGGAAAATAAAGCAGAAGGCACCGGGGTGCAGCTGCTCACACCAGACTCTTGGAATATCCCGCTAACAGATGCTCGGAGGAAGGCCCCCTCCCCGGTGGCTGCAGCTGGCCAAAGCCAGGGCCCTGGCCCGTCCGCGTCCACCACCGTCTCTCCATCTGACACTGCCAACTGCTCTGTCACTAAAATCCCCACGCCAGTCCCCAAGTCCATCCCCATCGGCGATACTCCCAACATCCCTCCCGTGTCCGTGCAGCCACCTGCTAGCATCGGGCCTCCCCTCGGCGTCCCGCCTCGCAGCCCTCCCATGGTGATGACCAACCGAGGCCCAGTGCCGCTGCCCATCTTCATGGAGCAGCAGATCATGCAGCAGATCCGCCCGCCCTTCATCCGCGGGCCTCCGCATCACGCCTCCAACCCCAACAGCCCCCTGTCCAACCCCATGCTCCCAGGCATCGGGCCCCCGCCCGGCGGCCCCAGGAGCATGGGCCCCACTTCCAGCCCCATGCACCGGCCCCTGCTGTCGCCTCACATCCACCCCCCAAGCACGCCCACCATGCCCGGGAACCCTCCGGGCCTGCTGCCGCCTCCGCCCCCGGGCGCCCCCTTGCCCAGTCTTCCCTTCCCGCCGGTGAGCATGATGCCAAATGGCCCGATGCCCGTGCCCCAGATGATGAATTTCGGGCTGCCGTCGCTCGCCCCGCTGGTGCCGCCTCCCACCCTGCTCGTGCCATACCCCGTCATTGTGCCCCTGCCCGTGCCCATCCCCATTCCCATCCCCATCCCTCATGTCAATGATTCCAAGCCCCCCAACGGATTCTCCAGCAACGGGGAGAACTTCATTCCCAGCGCGCCTGGTGACTCCTCGGCCGCGGGAGGGAAGCCGGGCGGACACTCCCTGTCCCCTCGGAACTCCAAGCAGGGCTCATCCAAGTCCGCGGACTCGTCGCCCGGCTGCTCGGGCCAGGCCCTGAGCCTGGCGCCCGCGCTCGCGGAGCACGGCAAGAGCGAGGTGGTGGACCTGACGCGTCGCGCCGGCAGCCCCCCGGGCGCGGGCAGCCAGCTTGGCTTCCCCGGCGTGCTGCAGGGCCCGCAGGACGGCGTCATCGACTTGACCGTAGGCCACCGGGCCCGGCTGCACAACGTGATCCACCGCGCGTTGCACGCGCACGTCAAGGCGGAGCGCGAGCCGGGCGCCGCGGAGCGCAGGACCTGCGGCGGCTGCAGGGA